CACACCCACACTCATATAGACACAAACACGCCCACTTTACTGTGCATCCATAAATACTAGTTGTGTCAGATTCCAAAGAAGACCCACCTGATAGTTTGTGTAGAAGAAAGTGTGTCGTTGTGAATGGTGCAAGTTAGCCCTTGTTCAGGAACTGTTTGTCCAGACATTAAGTGGACAGTCCGAAAAAGCTGGGTTGGATGAGGTGTCTGTGAAGGAGTCACCGTCCTCAACATATCTGATGGGACTAAAGACGCCTGGAGTTGGCTAGGCTCCACTAGATCTTTCACTTTTGAAGACTTTGGTGATTTTAGAACAGTGGTTGAGCTGTTTCTTGGTCCAGTGTTGGAAGCCCCTCTAGATGCTTTTGCATGATTTCGATTTGGAGTAGAAACTGGAGAATGCAAATGCTGGTTTGAGGACAAACTCCCTGAGTATTCCGCAGGGCTTGAATCTTCTTCATCAATATAAATAAGATCCTTTGGCATCTCCTTGAACTGATAGACAAGGCGTTGGCCTTCCACCTTAGCTAGAATACCTCTTTGGTAATAGTACCTAAAGCAAACAAAATAATACATTCAGTTCCTGTTTTGGGTCATCACTATGAATGTAAATACTTTTCAAATGGTTTAACTTGTTAAGCAATCCAAGCATTTGTTTTAGGTTCGGGGGAAAGCAGCCCACTGATCTGTGCAATAAAAAGCCCCTAATTTTTTATCTTTTAAAACTGCAGTAGTGCAATATGATACTAAGAACTTAAGCATGTTATACAAGAAGTGTGGGAGGCATTCCTGCAGCTCTTCAGTTTTGCTTTTTACCTTACAAATATTCAAAATGTGAACTGGACATTCAAAACATTTCAAAAAGGATAAAAAAAAAGGATTGTCCTTTTTTAAGTAGGGTTTCTCCCAGTTCTGGTGCCTTTTTTCCTGAGCCACAGAGTGGTACAACAGATCAAAGTTTTTATTTCTTCAATTATGGCTGAATATTTTGTACTTAAAATATGTAAACCAATAACACATTCTACATATATTATGCTTACCTGAGTGCTCTGCCCATTGTCTCATAGTTCATGTCGGGTTTATTCTTGTGCTTTCCCCAGAGCTTTGAAACAGCCTTGGAATCTACCAGCTTGAAGATACCCTTCTCTCGCTGAGTCCATTTGATGTACTTTGGACATGTAGCCTTATCTTGAAGCAAAGCTAGCAAAAATTCCCAAAGGTATATGGTATTACCTGAAAAACAAAAAAAGTGGGCATGTAGGCAGACGTATATTTCTTTAAGGCCAGGTTCACATTATGGTGATTCGTGATCGCACGGCAATCATGCATGAAACCGCGGATGGCCGCGCAGTCACAGAATCGCCCGCCACCTCCGATTGCGCTGGCCATGCCATTATTTTTGTAATGGCACCCCAGTCATGCCGGGCGGATGGTGCGTTTTCCCACTGCGATTCCGCCCATGCAATCGTACACGATTGCAGTACATGTTCCCTTTTTCTGCAATTGCTGCATGGATGTAACCCCATTGAAATCAATGGGGCCGCACAGCAACCGCTGTGTGCAACTGTACATGATCGTGCGTTTCTGGGACTAGTGTCCTATGTGGTCACCTTGTTAGTGGAGCTCCGAAGCCGTTAGTGACACCAGGGTCTCATAGCTAGAAGTGTGCAGTGCTGCACATTCCTATTTGTAAAGGAGAGCATGCATTAAGGAGGACACATTATAAATGTGTTCCTTTATGCTGCAGAGTAAATTGGATAAACAAACCATAGATGAATCTTATCTTAAAACACATTAGCATCCTTTTTGCAGCTCACCAATAACGGTCCTAAGACACAAACCTGTATTTTTTATGACAAGGTCATTGGAGCAGCTTTTACATATAATTTATTCCTGCTGCCATTACCTTTTCCATCCTTGCTTTTTTTCTTCACAGATATATTTGGGGTAGTTGTAGGTGACTCTGGGCGAGGTGTTCTTGCTTTTCTCGCTAAAGCAAAAAATGAGCAAAACAAAACATTGAGCTAGTTTGTTGAGAAGAATGCTTTCAAGTTTAGGACAATTGATTGGTGCAGTGATTTCTTCCATACCTTTCTTCCTCTTTGGCTGCTCGTCCTGCAGAGACTCTGTTGGATCTTCATACATGCTCTGGTGGATCTCCATCACCTCTGGAATGCCGTCAACAGTGACAGAAACATGTGTAATGGGAGTGATCATCAGTTCATCATCAGATGCACCGAAAATGTTAGCTGAAAGAAAACAAAAAATGTCAGTACAATGCAACATAGTGGAGCGCTGTATTATATCACTGGCAACACATGCCTGATTATCAAAGGAAACCCTAAGAGAAACTGGTGCACTTAACCAGATTAACCAGTTTCCTTATTGAACTGGAAACACTATTTATCATCGCATCTAATTTAGCTTCAGTTTTTACAAATAAATACCAATGTACTAAAATATAGGTCATAATGGCTTATTGATCAAGATGTGTCACTTGAATTATCTTCATCAACTAGTTTAAAGCATATTATGACATTGCCTACGATATGTTACAGGTAGCCATTTTCAGAAATTCCTCTTTCCATAGGAACAGCTAGCGTGACTATATCAGGTTTAGATACCAATATGCATTGCAATCTCTCCCCTGCGTACTATATGTTACAGGTAGCCATTTTCAGAAATTCCTCTTTCCATAGGAACAGCTAGCGTGACTATATCAGGTTTAGATACCAATATGCATTGCAATCTCTCCCCTGCGTACTATATGTTACAGGTAGCCATTTTCAGAGACTCCTCTTTCCATAGGAACAGCTAGCGTGACTATATCAGGTTTCGATACCAATATGCATTGCAATCTCTCCCCTGCTCTTTTCCAGAAACAAAACAGAGGAAAGATTGACGTTATTACTGTGTGCTTGGCCCCTACAATACACCACCTACATCATTATAAAACAGGTAGGGCGGCGCGAAAAAACATTGCACATATCTGCTTATCTGTGATATTTTCAATACATCATGTGAAAGGCTAGTATAGCATCCTTAACTCACCTAATCTTTTCTCATCTAGCAGTGCATCTGGAGAATCCATATTAAGAAGTGCCTCTGCTGCTTCAATTGTTTCCATGGTCTCATCTCCATTCTGACACGATGCTTCAACTAAAAAGTACAGATTGTCATGTCAGCACAGTTTGGCTTATTTATAGAGGAAAATAAGAATGAAGACTTTTAATGGTAAAGTACAACATGATGCAAAATGAAAATGTTTTTCAAGCATTTCACCAGTAGAGGGCAGTAAGTAAATTCAAATCTACTCCAGAAATCAGTTTTCAATAATCTGATTGCATGGACCAAATGGCATTTATCAGAATAAGCCGTTTCTGCTGGCTCCATTTCCATGTGTTGGTGGTTTTCCATTACCTCTGCAATGCCATCTAGAGTGACAGAAATGTGTTATTCTAGTAGTTCTTCAGTAATCTATGGAATTATTCCTGTACAGCTGCATTTTTGTTTCTAGATCTGACCATACACTTGGCTAGCATCTTATCCTGACTACAAAAATGGTTAAAGCAGAACTTCAAATAGCTAAATTACACAGATGAAATACATATAAGGCGGTCCCACCCAGTCCTGAGATTTACACAGCTCTGCCACACAGCACAGCATCTTACAGGCCTTCCCAGTCTGTGACTGGACAGTGGAAGGAAAACCAGCATACTGATGAGCTCATCTTTCTGGCGCTCTTCTCTCTCCTCCTATGAGCATGCTCCTTGTTAGCCATTGAGCACTGCAACACAACTGACTGGCTCCTTGTGGTGCTTCTTCCTTTTGCAGTCTAAACTCTACTGTACAGAGACTGCAAGAGGCTGATGCCAAACTAAATCAGGTATTTATTTGTATTGATATACATGTGTGAGAGAGGGGTGTGCATTTGTTTTACATTTTAAGTGCATTTTACATGTGTTGTGTTTGGATGAAAACTGCACCAAAAGCAGGGTTTTTTTCTGTAGAGGGTTAGTTCACCTTTACTATACAATTTGCCATGCATTCCAGCATCCCCAGAGCATTAAACCGTTTTTTAAAAGAAGCTTCTTTGCAATAGTTTCCCTGTAGGCCATGTGCGGGCTCTCCCAAGCCTGTCAGAAATATATATCCCCATCCCCTAGATGGCAGGGCGCACCAGGCATTGGAAGCGTGCCCTCAGCGCTGCAGAAATGAGCGCTTTGTCACGTTCAAAACCCACACCTGCTCAGTGCACTCTCTCCCTCTGTCAAAAAACACTGAGCTCAGCCGCTGTGCAGTGATTTTTTAAGTTCTGAGGACTCTGGAATGCATGGTAAATTTTATGTTAAAAAGGTGAACTAACCTTTTAATGCACCACACCCAAAATATTCCATGAGACAGTAGTAGTGTGAATGCCGCCTTTGGCTGGGTGCATATTAGCAATTATCCCATTACTACCCTGTGATTAAATGCCAGTGAACACTATACATAGGGAACAAATGTGGTAGCAATTAAATGCTAATGATAGCACAATGCACCAAAATTTGTGCAAGCGGTCGCATGTATAGTAATCGCAGTCAACTTTAAATGTTAGATCTTACTAGCAAAAGTTCCCCGTGTGTGCCCAGCCTTACAGTAACGCCGGCCATACACTGTGCAAAATTCCAGCTGGTTTTTGATGAACTGGCCAAAATTCACATGGTGGGTGCCCCTGTTGGCACCCTTCCAGGTGACATCCCTCGGTCAGAAGATTGAAGGAGCTGGCTGCAAAATCTTCATCTGAATGGTGTTTGCAGATGGAAACAGCGGGGGATTCCACGCTGGTTAACGTTGATGGAGAAATCTGTAGGATGTTTTTCCATTCAGATGGAAGGCTCAACCAAAAAAAAAAAAATAGAACAGTGTGACCAGCTTAAGATTCAGGATCATCCAATGCTGCTACATTGACAGTCTGAAACCTTCCACCCATCTAAATTATTACACCTCTACTTTAAAACCATAATGAGCGAGGTTTGCTGAAAGATAAGCTACTGACATCTTTACATGTTATACACCAACATCAAGATCCAGTGCTGGCAAAATGATAATAAATACACTGATATTACCCTACAGCTTAACTCAACAGTTCAGTATCTGAATACATAAAAATCAGCTTCAGGAGTTGTTTTTTTAGTATTAAAGGGTTCATAATGAACAGATTAGGCCCAATCTAACATCTAAGCAGCCAGTGCATAAAACACCCTCAGGCTTTGCAGAAGAGCATCCAACAAAGTGTTTTCTACACAGCAGTCTGGCCATGACTTGACCACATTCAGCCTGCTGCAACAGCCACCCTCAGCTGCAAGGTGTGGACGGAGCCATTTTGTGGAAAGGCAGAAATGTTTTAGGTAATGGCAGCAGATCCAGTGCAGTAAAAAAACAAACATAAGTGTATGTATAATAAAATAAGTAGGGCAGTATTTCGGTGAATGCATTTTAGAGCACGCTGCCACACCTCGCATAGCTAGGGAGCATTCCATGAAAAGGAGCCTACACGGTTGCCACAGCTGGCTTCTTTTTGAAGAAAGGTCCTTTTTTCAATAGGCAATCGCTGATCAGCATATGCCTATAGGGCGTCAGGATATTTGATGAAGCAGAAACTGCGAGGAGGAGATGACAGCAAAATCGCTCGTCTCACTGAAACGAGAACTAGAAACTACAAACCTGTAAGAGTGAGGTCATCGTCTTCTATAATCTGTTCCTCTGCTACATCCAGGGAGTTTTCATTGATCATGTCATTTGGTTCATCAACGCATGTTAAGCCGGAATAAGTGTGCAGTAAATCTGCATTTGGAATGTGCTCCACAATGACAGCGGGGAAGATGGAAGGGTCATCAAGCTGCAATATGAAGTGATAAGGGTTCATCAGTTCCAAAAACTAAATTTTCAAGAGAAAACAAAAAACATTGTGTAAAAACATTGGTCTGGCAGAAGTGCAGTATATTCTCCAGTTTCACCTGCAATTCAAAATATACATAATAAAAGGCTGATCATTTGTAAATATTAGATATCATCAGGGCCGGCCATTGGGGTGCGGGAGCTGTGCGGCCACACAAGGCGCCATGGAAACGGGCGCCAGGTGGCCGAAACAGCTTGGCCTCAGGGCGGCAGGAAGTAGAGGGGCGGCACAACCTGCAGCTTCTCCTCGGATCCCCGCTTCTTTCCTCCGCCTGCATGGGCAAAGGCAGCAGCGATACAAAGAGAAATGGAGCGCTGAAGCTGGCGGACAGTAAAAACAAAAAACAACACAACCCCCCCAACCACACACACACTATTAGACATGTGCAAAGACTAAACATATGTTTCGGGCGAAATGAACGAAAACTAAAAACATTTCATCCGTTTCGTCAGAAGAAACAAATTTTTATGCCATTTTGGATTTAGAGGCATCGGGCCTCCAAATTTGAAATCGCAAATGTAAATAAAAGCGCCCACCAGCGCGTTCTGCACATGCACGCCGCTATCCTAAAGGCAGGGCGCATGACGTCACATGACACCGCACGTGCCTGGTGTCGGATGACGTCACACACCTGTTGAGCGCCTATACTGGCTCCTATACACAGCTCCATGTGATGTCATGCGCCCCGCCTCCAAGATGGCAGGACGCATGCTCAGAACGCACCGGTGGACATGATGGCTGCGGCACGTTCACAAACGAATTATGTGCCCAAATACGTTTTTGGTATATTCGGGCATATACTAATTTGTTCATTCGGACGAACCAACGGAAATTCGCTGATTTGCAGGTTCGTCCGAATCCGAATGTACACGTCTTTCTATTATACACATGCCACAGTGTGCACCATGTACTTGGTTTTAGTAAACAGTATGCCGTATTTACCATGTAGTCTAGGTTTTGTGTTCTACTTTTCTAGATGCACTTACTTGAAAAAAGGGTTTGAATGACATCCTGACACTATTTTAGTTTGACGTTTATTGTCTACCACTTGTTTGCCTGCTGCTGTTTTATTTAATAAAGAATACTTATATTGTGCTTACAAGTTTATTACTTTTGAATAAAAGTTTATTTTTATCATACTTTTTAATCTGTTTCTTTGGGGCTCAACAAAATGGGAGGCTTTAAATGGTGCGGGTATTGGAGAAATGGGTGTGGCCACTGAGGGGCACTGTAAAGCTTTCGCGCACAGATTGCCTAAGGGCCTGTTTACATGATATCAGGTCCTGATCAGGTGCGGATCTGCAGACGCGGTGCTACTGATGCAGTGCGTTTTTGATGCGTTCCAGTTAAAAAAAAAAAAATTATTTTTTTTGCTTAAGTGGGGCTGTCAGTATGTTAGCTGCAGTGCAGTGCGTTTGACGCGTTTTGCGTTTCCTGACCGTACAAAATGTGACATGCAGTATTTTTCTGTCGTAACCTGAACGGACTGCGCACGTGAGAACTGTAGCCCATAAAACACATAGGGATACATTGGGATGCATTTTAGTGCAGGAGCGTACGGATCAGGTCAGCAGAGAAAATGGATGTCGTGTGAACAGGCCCTTATGGCCAAAGGCCGGCCCTGGATAATATTCATCACCATGGAATTTGAGACCCTACTGCTTGTCCCGTGCCTTCTGCAGCCCATAACTCAGCCAGGTTTGCAGGTTGAGGTCTATCCTTCTACCATTCACTGAGCTAGAAACAAGTACAGTGTGGAGGAATTCTGACTTTCATTTGCATTTTCATTTACTTGGAAAATATGTTGGCCCCATGTGCATATATAATTAGAAACTATAAACATAAACCAGGTTTTTAAAACATTAAAAGACAATTATGCACATCAAGCAGATCTTTTACATGCATGTCTAATAAAACCCTAAAAAGATAACCCATGAACACCTTTAATGTGTTAATGAATTTAGAAGGCATATCCCCGCAGGTAGAGGCCATGTGCACAACACCAGGCTAGAGACACGCATTCAAACAATATTAAAGCCGAGGACACAAAGTTGAAAACAGATGACTGGCTTGGCCAGCACAGTACCAAACTATTCTGTAGAAATTAAAAAGACGTTGACCTCATAATGTGGAGTATGTGGAATGTTAACAAGGGCCAAAGCACAGGGAGCTTCGGAGATCTAAGATTTGTGTTTTGTCAGATCACAAGAAAACAGCAACAGAGTCTATGAAGATAATGCTGTGGTAAATTAGAAGCTGCTCTGTAAGGTCTAATGATCTAAGAAGACACCCTGCTCACATGCAGTCTATGTAAAGTTTCAGCATTCAATAAGTGGCCTGCCATTGCTAACCTCTGGTCCTAATACTCGTTGCCTGGCGTTCTGCTGCTACAATCCTTCACTATTTTATTATTAGCTGACCTGTAATAAACATGCAGATCAGGAGGTCACATAAGGTGGCCCTGAATAATAAAGTTCTTGGCCCCAGACTTCAAGCACAGCCTTGAAGCATGAAGTCACATTGATTTGAGATTCTAGAGCTGGTGTCTCTGGCAAAGGTCACTTGGTCATACCTACCCCAGCAACCTTGGTCTATTGACTGAAGTCTATTGGCCTTCAAAGCTTATATGTACATGAATGTCATACAATCGTTTTTTATGCTTCCAACAAAATGAGTATAAATTCAATACTACCCCGTGTATAACTATACGTGACGATAGGTTCTTTAGACAGGCCTGTGCTGCTCCATCTTTGCATTAAATGCATCCCTCTTTTTATCTGTTTGCACAAAGTCAATAAAGATCTTTTGAACATAAAGTAGATTGGTCATGAGATAAAGACATTGGACGCTATTGTTCATCTTCTAAAAATGCTAGTTGCCTGGCTGTTAAGCTCACCCACCACCTATGATACCTTGAGCCAGAGATAAGACAGATGTCTATATCTGCATACCTGTTCCAGCTCGTCCCTCCCACATGAACTACTTTATAAAGTCAGAAAATACTCTGATCTAGAAGTTCTCTCAGTGAACGACAACAAAAAGATTACTTTAAATAGGAAAGGTAAAGAGAAGTTCAGAAGCAGAACGTTCTGCACCTTATGGAGGGGATCACATTGGTAGATCTGGTTATGAGTATTGAAGCCAGAGGATCACCGTGACAGAGAGGCAACTAGCATGGTCAGCAATGGCAATCTCCATATTTCTCAGCCACTATAGTTCTCCCAGTAAAGCATTCTTTAAATACATCAGAGTATGTGGCAGCCATATTAAAAGCAGATAATTAGTAGTCCAAATAAGTCTCACACTCTGTAGGTTGGATTAATAAACACTTGGTGCACTGCTTATGGCGCAGGACTTTCTGTTCTGCACTGGACAAAAAAAAAGCCAAATTCTTAAAGCCTGATTGAGGTCACAGAAATAGATATGAAGTCAGATACACATTGTGCCATCAACCTCCAATTTCCTGTTATAGCAGTTCTGAAATGTGTGTAAATATGACTGTGCAGTTCAATGGAAACCAAAGTCAGACCCAGAGCTAAAACTATGGGTGGGGCCGCCAATAGAGTAAACATTTTGCTTACAGGCTTAAGTTATGATTCATTTTAGGGTTCCACAGACTAAAACCGAGGATGTGACCATTACATCCACAGTTTAATATATGTATAATACATGCCATAAAAGCTATTGGTGCCAAAAGTATGTGAACCAACATTTCTAGTCCAAAAACTCCCATGCCAAGAACAAAAAACCCTTTAAAATGCAATAAAAGTACTGGCAGCGTTCACTGCATCAAACAGAAAAAAAGATAATATCATACATTTCCTTTAAATCTAGAGCAAGGGTCTCAATGTACCGGCCCACGAACCAGTACCATGTAGCCCGCAGCCGGCTGACAAGTCTTATGTATGATTACATGCAGTTAGAAAACAATAAATCATTCCCCCTGAATGCATGATTGATGCGTCCAGGGAGAGTGATTGATTCCTAACCACTTGTAAATCATATCACATACCATTACATGCGGTGTGCAAGTGTTTACATGCAACTGCTGTCACCTGATCATTAACTTGAATGGGTGACAGCTGCTGCATGCAAACAGCAGATTAGGGATTCCTGCTGTGGAACAATGCATGTTCCTGACGCAGGAATCCGTGCCACCTAAACTTAGAGGTGTGAATCGAATGGAGCCTTATTGTGTGTGTATTAGTGTGTTTATTTCTGGTTGTGGGTGTATTAGTGTGTGTGTGTGTGTGTATTTCTATGTGTGTGTACGTATTTCTGTGTGTGCGCGCATATTTTTCTATGTGCGCGTATTTCTTTGTCTGAATGAATGTGTGAATCTGTTAGTCCTCTATGATTAAAATTAAAACCTGTGGGGAAAAAACAAACACACACATATACATACTGATATGACACACACAGAAACATGAACAAATATACCGACATCACTCACAGAAATCCTGACAAAAACACACACACACACCACAAAAAAATATACTGATATTGCATACAAAGAAACCATTAAGAACACATACACTGAGTGGCCAGATTATTATGACCACCTGACGTTTGTAGGCAAATTAGCTATAGTTTCGCGCTGAAGTTGCTAGAGGGCCAGACCATTATAAATAGGTTAGCAGGTTGTTTACCACGACAGTAGAAGTGATTTTTTTCTGAAGATATGGGTAAACAACGCGATTTAACAGCCTCTGAACATGGGATTATTGTTGGCGCTCGGAGCCATGGAGCGAGTATCAGCAAAACAGCAGAATTCGTTAAATGTTCAAGAGCAGCTGTTGTTAAAGTGTTTAAAGACTGGACTGTCAGCCGAAAATCTGGGTCTGAGCGTGTGAATTGTGGCCGTCAGCGACTAGTCAATGTTAGGGCAGAACGGAGAGTGGCAAGACTGGTACAAGACAACAGAAGGGCAACAGTGCAGT